CTTTCAATACCTAATAAAACGTGCAAACGGGACGATAAGGTCCATGAGTTGACGGCTAAACTGGATGAAAAATGGTTTCAATCGTGTACAATAAGGACTGAATTGTTAACCATCGGCACTACTGATCTGATTCAATTTTAATAATGCATCAGTAGTGTGAAATTACTCGGAACACTGAAAGAGTTACTAGATCGCTGAGACTTCCAAGATGGAGCTGACGAGGTAATAACTGCGAGCTGCGGAGTCACAGGGGGGAGAGGATGATATGTGGTAATTGAGGGAGACAAGTGGTGTTCCCTCAAGGAGGTCCGGTGCTCCTCCTGATACCTACGTCGGCGGAAGGCCTGACTTATGAATCGCTCCTCGAACTGAGGATCAATCATCCAATAGCAACCCTTTCCCGGCTCATCAGGTAAGCGCGGTGTCTAGGAAAGCGCGTGGAAATTAAAAGTGCTACAAACCCTATGTAAATAGTGTAAAGGAAGCACTGAGTGAAAACAATCAGGTTGCGAAAAGAACTCCATGGCTATATTGCTGATTTATTTGTTCTTACCTTGAAAAAATGCTTGTTTAGTGAGAGATTATGGCGCACGGAATTTTGCCAGCCCTTATCCTCAAGGCGGTAATATGGGTAGTTCTGGCTAATAAACTGGTAAATACCCGACAGAGTAAGACGTCGTGTTGGTTGACCGGCTAGCGCTTGAACAATAAGCTGGGCAAAGGAGTAGGGTGGTTTGACTGTGGCAATAAGAGGATAGGTGGAATGTGCACGAGCGTCCCAGAGCAGATGCGCACCAGTCGACGGCTCTGACGACGTTGCTGGGCCGAAAACTTGCAAGACTCGATTCGGGTGTTGCTCCTGATGCTGATGGTTGAGTTCGTCGACAAACTGCTGAGAACTACAATTGAGCAGGCACATAGAAAACAAATAACAAAATGAAATTTGATAAAAAGTGCAGCGCATACCCTGCATCGCTATTATTCAACGATTTGTCGACGATTAGAGACTTATTTATTGTAATGGACGTGAGCAGCTGCTTCCGTCGATTTGTTGAGACAGGGGGAATTACCCGACCCGAATGATTATCATCATTACCTTCCACATCCGAAAGATGCTGCGGACTTTCTGCAACTTTGTTCTCAGGGGAGTGTGGAGCCTTCAAAGGTCTTCTAGATACACGTAGTCTCTTTGGCTGACAATGGACCACCAGTTCGATTGATGTATTTGGGAATCGAATGGTACATCTGAATACAACAAATAAACTAGCTACACTAACTTGACAAGATTAGTGTGATAACAACAAAGAGAAAAGCTTCGGATTCGCAAAATGATGCAGTAAGAGGTAAAGAAACGCAACTAACACATGAGATTACCGCACACATAGTAGAACAGAGAAGCTGTAGTGTAGGTACAAGAGATGTTCCGCAAGATAAAATAGACCTGCATTCAAACCAAAAAAGTATCGGACAAACTAGCAGCGACCAAACATTCACATGCAAAAGCTATGAGAATAGAAGCAGGAAAGCTATCGAACCATCATTTTTAGGAGATCAGACATCATAGCATGAGCTTAAAGTGAATCCCTGGACAAAAGATGCAATTTGCGTGAAAATGTCTGAAATAAGCGCGTACTTCCTCGGAAGTCGATACAAGACACTTCCAGGTCTTCGAAAGTGACCATTTATGGTTATCCCATTTTTTCCAAGGCACTTTAGAAGCAGCCTACCAGCAAACCAGGTAACTTCGACATGGCGTCGTGATATCAACGAAGAGTCAAGCATTATGTCGGTATCTGAACCGCCAGCGCGTCTACCGATGACAAAACGCCGATTTCGCATAAGATATCTCTGCGACCCATTCAATATTACCGCATACGTTCGCACAGACCCCCTCGAATTTTTACGAGTCATACCGACGAAGCTAACCAAACCCCCCACCCTCCAATTAAAGAGGTAAAACAAGCGATTGTGTCAGAGTAGCTCGTATTTAAGCGGAACTTTAGAGTTTAGCATAAAAATAAGAAAGTTATAAATGCTGTTCTATGATATTAATAGTTAACAATTCTTAACATCAAGCTATGAGTAATAAAGCTCAAAAGAACCCCCATTTTCTAGGTAAATGGTCCTCAGGAGTGATGAATTCATGGTGTCTGCATTTCGATTTTCAAAGTAATTAGAAATATAATTAAATTATAGGCAATTTTTTTTACATTAACGTTAAACAGTTCAAAATTAACTTATCGGCGGGCAGCACTTTGGTCGAAACATATTTAAATCCTAACGTCCTAATCAAAGTTTCGACTTTGAACTATTGTCTCTTTAAACGCATTTACTGGCTTGTGACGAATTGCATAAAGGTTTGAGTTAACAGGTTGTTTTAAGTAGGTGATTGGAGAAGCTCTCACTATGGAGATCGGTTTAGGTCTTTCTAGGTGTGGGGATTGGGGATCAGTGCCGGAATGGATGTACAAGCTTGTCCGTCCAACAAGCGTAAAATGAAGTCTAGCGGATCTTCCAGGAAGTCAAAGAGACGCAGATTAGAAAAATCGCTTGCAGACTTGGAAAACACTTGTGTGGATGATTGGAAGGTTTGTGCCCATCTTTTATAGCCAAGTCTTTTAGTTGAACATGGGCGCCTCTCTAGCCGATCGCTTGGAAACAATTGCCTCTGAAAAAAAGTTGACTATTCTTCAAGTAAAGCGACTGCTTAAGGACGTTCTTACTAATCCGTCTGTTGTAAATGCGTTCAGACAGTACATGAGCGGTCAACTTACTTTATTGGAACCAGAGACAGGTGCCGCTTCCACTTCTACACGAAGACATGCTCAATTTCTTGGGTTTGATCTTTCAGCTTTTGGCCCCCGTTCTAATATAATGGATATTTTATCACGAAGATCGGTTACTAGGTATGCTTTATTAGCCAACCTTTTCAAAGTTACTAGTCTATCACTTCGTCAGTCTATTGGGAGACTTTGGCATGCATTTCATGATCTTCCATTCGTTGTGAAAATTTGATTTTCGCACAATTGGTAGGCAGGTGTTTCGCAAATATTTATGCATTATATCCTTGTTTGATAAGTCATTAGCGGTGATTGAGCTCATGCTCTGTTCCTTTTAGGTCATTGGCCAAGAAATTGAAGGCTGAGGCGGCCCAAAACAATTCCGCTTTAATCCATGACAAAGGTAGTCGCGGCATTTTGTCATCAGATGGCGACTTTTCCCAACAAAAGCCCACGACTTTGCTTGATATGGACTTTTCTGACGGAGACGATGACGCAGAATGTGGAGTGGATGGGGCGAATATTGAAAAATCCATTGAACCTACCACTGGAGATGGTGTTTCTGCATCTTTCAACAATGCTACTGGTCATCAGCGGGATGAGGATTACCACCCAACAGCGGACGACATCAGTCTTATGCAGCGCGATATCTACTACGACCTTGAGGACACAGAAGTGAAATCTGTCTCTAGCAGTGCGTTAGAAGGAGAGGATGATGAAGTAGACAGCCCCACGACTAGTTTATGTACCGTCGAACCCTTCGACACACCTCATCGAGACTACTACCTGCGTTCGCGAAAAAGCGATGATGCCTCCATGCAGGACTGTCTTAGCGGATTGACACCTAACATACTGAACATGCTTGACGAAGACGATCCCCATGTGGATGCTGGAGTAGATGCTCTGAAATTTGCTGAATCCATGTCCGCATCCAACATTAGTATTGAAAATGATCCTGAGGATCAGATATATACTAGTTTTTTGAAGTCACTCTTTGAGTCATCTCCACAAAAAACTAACGATTTACCTCCTGACGTTGGATTGGTATGTCCTCCTTGTCGTTTTGGTTAGCTCTTCGTTAAAATATTTTTTGCCGTTTTAGCAACCACCCGACCCTATGTTGAATCCAGATGCCTTGCAATGTATTTCGGAAACATCGAACATACCCATGAGCCAGGACTACACTGCCTTAAATGAGAGCAAATTGGGCGTAGACGAATGCGATGATCCTGATTTTGATGTTATGGCTGAATTGGAGTCCTTTTGTTACGACGATCTCTTTGATGAGCTGAGATCCGATCGTGCTGTTCGTATCTCGAAAATGGAAGCCAAGGTATATTTGTTGGGATATTTGCTGTATAATCATTTATGAATGCGATCCATTAATTTTTGGCTTTTGGCAATCTACTCTACCACTGCTCCCACCTGTTTTGATGTACGGAGCTCCCTCATCAATATATGCCCTTTTTTGGGACTTATTGTGACGACTTTAGGAGTCTTAGAGTCATAGGAATTGCCAAGGCTGGCTAGTCTAACATCCAGTTATCCATACATCTCGGCCTTGGCTGCAGAAACCTACACGACAGATTGATATTTATGGTCTAGTCGAGAGGGTTCATCATCGAATTTTAATCAAAAGCAGATATTGGTATTAGCATTAGCGTCACAATGGAAGGCGGTTAGTTGAAATCATTGTAATTGTGCAATATTCATGTCTATTTTCAAAGGCGCTTGCAGCTTTTCGAGCCTTTCGGCATTACAGTTCATTACAGCAGACTTCTGACTACCCGAGTCAGATAGAATTCGCGATGATCTAACCCATTCCATTCACCTATTCTGTGTTGCTACGTTAGGAGTTGCGGCGAGACTTAGTGGACCTACTAAGCGAAGATACATTCTTTGGAGAAGAATTTTCCACGCATGTTAAGGCTCCTACTTCAACAAAATCATCCACTGGGCTGCATAAAGCTTTCAGTGGAACAACTGCCGATGAATCTTCATACCCTCCTCTACCACCGCCTCCCTTGTAGGTTTTCCCATCCGTGCTATTAAACACTCGACTTATAAGCATGCAATTTGTCGTGCTTCTACACTAAATTCATACATTTTCATATTCCAACGTGTCATTATTTGAAGTAGCACCGGTGAGTGTTCGAAAATTATTTCTTTTCCTCACTCGAATAAATACCTTTTCTCCAGTGATTACAATACAAATGAACGTATTCGACGCCAAATTTCTATGCACTTGCAACTCCTCTGTTCCACCCTGGCCTGCTGCGTCCACCGAATAGATCTGGAGAGGTCAGTATGCAACGTCGTGCGTGAGGCCTTTACTAACTTTCGTGGTGCCTTCCGGGCAGCTAAAAAGGATCCCTACACATATGTCACAGGTCTTTCAGAACTCAACGAGCTTTTCTCATCCGTATCTGCTTTTATGACCGAGTTCGCTGGTCTCACTGTCCTTCCACTACCACCACCCATTTCTCCAGCCTCCGCCTCGAATCCCCCTCTCCTACCCCTCCCATTTAACCTACTCGACTTTGTCACTCGGAGCTCAATTTGGGCCTACCCGCATTTCCTCCCTCGGGGTCTGGCGTCCAGACCTCACACACTCTCAAAAAGACTTTTCACTAAAGACGAAGACAACCTCATTGTTCTTGGCCTGGCCAATCTGATTGAGTTTGCTCCGCATCGATTCAACCTCTTCGCAGAGAGCCTCAACCGCCGCAACAAACCCGCAGTAGATAACTCTACCGCCGCCGTAGCTAAGCGTGCTATGGTGTTTGACTTCATCACCAAAACTCTCATACCCACCAAAACCAGCCTACAGCTGCATAATCGCAAACTATACATGGAAAGAATGATACATCGAGACTGGCTAAATGTCAGGCGAAATGCAAAGTCTTCCTTCTACCTCCTCATCCTCGACCTCATTTCGGGGGATTTTGAGGGATTGCAGGCACATCGAGATCTCCTTCGTGCCTGTGTCACCAGCTTCGCACATCGCACGTGCGCTGCTTCTGTTTGTGGTGGCGTGCTACAGCGGGGCAGTGTTTTCTCGCGGCCTGACTGTTGGTCACTCTTGCCACCCGAATACGTCCATTGCTGCCGTACTCTGCAGGCGCAGCTGGAAGCGGGAACCACGGGCACTCCGCAGCCCTCCGTAGAAACTCTACTCCCTGTCTTTTCCGAGGGTGCGCCGCAAAATGTGGGGTTCTTCTTATCTGCAATGCTCACTTGGTGGCCTTCTAGTGATGGAAGTGAGGCAGGGAATCGGGAAGAAGATATACCTGAATTCACTGCCTTGTGAGTTGGGGATTAGGTTATCTGGGCTCTTTCACGTTCTTCAAATCGCCTCATTAACCGTAGCATCAATCCTGTCAGTGTTACTCAGAGGTAAACAATTTCGAAAACAAGATTTACTTGAGTTAACTTTTTGCCTTTCATGAGTTCTGTTGTATTGTATTTTTATTCGCTATTCTCAAATGTTTCTATTAGTTGTCGTGTTTGCGGAAAGGCAATAATGCGTTAACCCTCGTGCTGCAGCTTTTCGCATGGTCTTCTATTTTAGTGTTTTGGATTGTTTTTTTGTGGGATGATGTTTGTTAGCAAGCGCTTTCATTAATTTTTCCATGCGATAAGTCTTTAGTTGGTGGTAATTATTCTCCTTTCTCTTCAGCCCTTCTCCTTCACCACCAGTCGAAGCGCCGTCAGCCAACATGGTCATTTTACTGCCTACTATGGTTCAACCCGTCATCAACTCTCCTATAAGACCATCTTCATGTCACCTTTCTCTTCCAGTCACAACTAACTTGCCACCTCATTCAGGTCCTTCAAGAACTGTACCACCTTTTCTACCACCCAAACGCCTCCTCCCAAGTTTACTAACTCAACCAACCTCATCCAAGGTTAGTACTGTCGTTTGGTTTATTTCTTTGTGTTTAATATTCGAAACTCGAGTAATTGTTCATCAATATTCCGTGAAATGCTTTGGTTTTCACATTGTTTTAACTATTTCCTCCCTTTTTCCTTTTTTTACACATCTTCAGCCTTCTGATGCACCACCTCCCAAATCGTCTCGCCCTAATCAGATCCAAGAGCATCGAACAACTCCAATGTCCAATAACAATGATGATTGCACTCGGAATAACACTACTTCTCAGTTTCTGCCTCAAGTGAGCAAAATAATTCACTCTTTTCATGTGGTCCTTGATCGCGTACTTCGCGGTCGAACCTCACTCTCGCAACCCCGCTCCTCTACCTCTGCTGCATTAACCGCTCGCTTCCTTCGACGCTGTCGTCGTGGCACACCGGCCTGGCTGCCCAGTGTTACTACGGCTGTTAAGGAAGCAGATGAGTCAGACGTCCGACGGGCACGCTGCCTTCTTGACCGCTGCCGTCTTCACCTGGGCCGTCAGGCACACGAAGAGATTGTCCGTTCTCTAACTGAGCATCAACCCATCGTTCCACTTGAGCGCCTTCTCTGCCTCCTCTCTCCATCGCGTCCTCTGTGGGAGGAGTTTGTGGACCTCTGCTTAACTCCCGGGCAGGCTCGATCCCTCAATATATACCCTATCTACGCACACTTACAACGTGTGGGAGAAATCAATTCTCTCCTTCACGCCTCTCTTCCCCGTGCCAAGCGACTCTGGTCGAGATTAAAGAAGCTGGCAGACGCTCGGGAATCCGAAGAGCTGAGAACCCCAGCAATTGAGGGTGCGCCTCACCTTTCTGAATCTCCACGTGGCGGTGGCAGTAGAAAGCGAGCGAAAAAACGTCATCGAAGACACCAAGGCTTACATAACGTAGATGAGGATGAGGAAGCCGGAGACAGGCAGAAGGCACCGAGAGACGTCTATAAATTAGCTTGGTCTTTGTTGGAGGCCGCTCTAAAGGATCGCTACGCCCTGCATGCTCAAACGGCTATCTCACTTGATCCCTTTCAGAGGCCCTATTCCAACTTCTCTCAGACATTTGAAGTGGTCGAGACACTGGCTCGGAAGCCTTCAACATCGCTGGAACATGCTCCAAGCCTTCAACAGGCTTCGATGCCTCCTAAGCCGCTACCAAGGCTAGTGGACGTGTTCGCTTGCCGATCCAATCCAATGTTAGATGGCGCTTTTGTGGAGAGCCTTCAGTGGGACGTATCCACGGAGTTATCCTCCAATGCCCTGGCAACGGCAAAATCGAAATTAGCTAACCGATGTCCCTGTTCTTGCCATGACAAGAGGAAATGGACAGCCATAACTCCACAGACACCCTCACAGTCTCACCAGCTGGGTCCTTCAACTCCTTCTGGAAGTAAGTCTTCTGCCAAAGCGGATAGTCTGGGCCTCCGGCACTGCATTAAATGCAGTCTTCGGGTAGGTGAATAGCCTAGTATTTGTGTTTGGTTATCTCACTGCTTCTTAGCCTTTCGTTATTTACTTCTTTTTGGTAATCTAAAAAAAATTGAAATCATAAGGGTGGTATTTTTGTCAGATTATACTTGATCGATATGAACTTAGTATTAGTGAGTACGATGTATCGAAGAGGAAAATTACTGCATCATATGCCAAACAACTCGTTTCTTGAACGCTTGTCCTAGACAAGTGCTATTTTGCGTGCTGATTTCAAGATCTATCAACTAGATTTTGAAATTTTTATCTCCTCCCCATCAGACTTGTGCCCTCCAGGCTCCAGCTTGTAGCCATGGGGAAAGGCTTGTTTTGCACTCTCTATGGAAGGGCTCTCTGCTATATCTGATGTCCCTCTTCACGGGTTCTATTCTCCTTTGGAAGGCGTTGTCATGATTACTGCCATTCACCATGTGATCGAGCACAACATCAGGACAGCTCGCTTTGGGAGAGTGTGACAATCCACACGAATCTTGAGCTGTCATTGCTTCACGTTGGCGATTATTGGATTCGCTGCTGTTGTGGTTATTCATAGACAATCTACGTCTTGGAGTTAATATTAAGAATTTGGACAAGAATTGCTCGGTTATGAACTCCCCTTAACTTCAATGTCCCCTTCTCATATCTCACGCAGTAGCTCAGGGAATTTCGCACCGATATAACTGCACAAAATTCTACAGGTTTCCGGTTGCTCTTTGCTCTGTGTTGGAACATCGAGTTGATGTTGGGAATGTTGCGCTCTGCTGTCTAATTTTTGTTTAGACTTTCTTTGAATCGCTAGACTCTGAACGACACGTACGCATAAAATTAAACAACTTATTGGCACTAAACTCAAGGCTTGGCAATTTCCTCTTTCAGGTTCACCAAGGTGTAGTTTATGTTGATGAATGCAATTTCCACCTGACACACGTCCAAATCATCTGGCCAGAGGGTTTTAAACCTCCCATGCCCTCCCCAGCTGCTTGCGTCTATCCTCTTCCTCCACCCTCTTCTACACCTCCTTATCCTCATCCGCCTCTTGCTCTCTCGACCCCACTTAGCACTCAGCAAGCGCTTCAGGCCTTGGACGTCTATCAAAAATCAAATCCTGATGACAATGCTTTCATGGTACCCGATTTGGCTCGACGCCAAGTATCTGTAGATTTCGGCGAACTAGTTCTTCCCCCTACTAGGAAGCCTATCGATCTACCCGCCAGTCCAACTGCTCTCTCTCCCATGACCGAGGAATGCGTTAAGTCTCTCACCTCAAGTGAGTTCACATTTGGCAAATTCTCCATATTCCTTGGACCAAATCAAAGTAAATTTATATCGCCCTTTTAGATGGCATGGCCTACTCTTCTTCATCACCCGTTTACCCACCCTCTATCTTCCAAATACCTCCAGTCGAAGTTGATGATGAGGCTTGCTTTAACACCGAAGCCTTCACGCAGTGCAACAGGGAGAAGCAAATCCCAACGGTGACTACAATCACCTCCTCTCCAACTGGTGGTGCTGGTCAGTCTTCAGCGTGGTCAATGGCGGAGGACCGCCGGCTTTTAGAGTACTTCCGTGATGTTGGTCGGTGTTCGTCTCGACTCTTCCGCAAGTTAGCCGCGCAGTGGCCTGAGCGATCGATGGAGGAGATGATGGCACGATTCAAGTATCTCATGCTAGTCGCTTATGGTGAGGACTACAACATGGATTTGATCTGCAGCGAAGATGGTATCAGTGATGAAGACTACGATGACGGTGATGGCAGTGGTGGCTGTGAAAGCAGTTGCGAAGGTAGCGGCAGCCCA